TCATTCTGGGCGTCCCAGTTAGTAAAACCAAGTACTGTGAAAATAAGTTGATATATTTGCTACTGTGAGAATAAAAGTTTATCTGGATTTTTTTTTTTATACTATAGCGTGTATTTTTATATATGAAAAGTATATATAAATATACACATGCTCGCACACATCATCTATCTCCTGGAGTTGCTGTGTTGTAGTAACAGAGCAGCCACAATCACGTTTGTGTGACTTGAGGGAGTGAATACGAGTGAAAGCTGCAAAAGAGAGAGGTGCAAAGGGTGGCTGCTGCGTCACTTCTCTACAGTGCTTATTTGGGAAGGAAAATCAAAGACGTTGTGTGTATAGCTAAATTTGTGACTAAGGCATCACCTGATATTAAAGAGCGTAAAAACTATTTTAAAATTGCTGGCATTCAGCTTTTAAGTGCACTTTCCTGAACTACACTTCCATTTCTTCTTAGACTTCAAGTTTCTAAAGCTTTTTTGTGTACCACTAAACAGAGAAATTTAACTTTTTTGTGAAACTGATGTACATCATAAGATACTTGCAGTTGTTAAATAAACAAATGTGATAACAGTGCGTTTGCAGATCTCCTTAAACATTGCATTATTAAGTATTCACGTTTGGGCCTCAGTTTCCTCACTTTAAGCAACGCTGATTCTACTGATATGCTTTTTGTGGCTGTGGGCTCCTGTCACTGTTTTAAAAATGTTTTAAAATACTTGTATTATCTGCCAAACCCTCTTTCTTTGTTCAACTTGTTAAAAACCTATTTATCACGTACAATTTTAATTCCTTACAATCAGCATTACTCTTCACAGCCTTCCTGCAGACGGTTTTGAGAGGACACGTTCTGATTCTTAGGCAGTAACTGAAGCTTGGTCCCTTCTATATAGCCAAAATGTGAAGTACAGCTCCCCATGCTCCCTCTGTGGAATTGCTTCTGCACCTCATCTTCTACACGTAATTTTCATGAGATTTCACCCCCTTCTAGCAATTGTGGAGCAGAGCCGTTTGCTCTTGTACTCATTTGACTGTGAGGTAAGCTGAAGTAAGAATGAAAATGGTGCAGGAAAGATGGAGCAGAAGCAGAACTGAGTTACTAAAAGTAGTCTTCTGCTTATTGCCCATTTCAGTCTAATTTTGTTACAAGGAAATACGGTGTAACTGCAGGCTTCAGCTTTAAAATGAAAACAAACAACGGTGGCTGTTAAATTCTTGCTTTAAACAGTTTCTCATGGATGAGAAGGTCTCCAATGCGCGTGCTGCCCGTGGTTTAAAGGCTCGGTGGAGGGCTTTGGCCGGTCCTGAGGGTGAGTGGTAATAAATGCCGTGTGAGTGGCAGCCGCACGCTGCGGGACGGCATGGGAACGGGCACCGGTATTGGACAGCACCACCCCGTCCCTGTCGGTCCCTGCTGCGGGCTGTACTGCCCGTGCCGTCTCTCATAGAGGGCTGGTTTGTTTTCAGCCCCTGCAGTTACAAAAGCAGTTAAAAAATGTTCTAGCTATGTGGTTTTCGTTGCGTTTTTCACCTTAACTGCTCGCGCTTCATTGCTCAGCACTGGGTTTTGCCTGCAGTTGAACTACTGGTTAGTGGAAAAGCAAGTTAGCAAAGCTGAGGTGGGAGAGAGTGGTGCTGGTTTAGATGAGGCAGAGTCAGGATGAACCTTTCCTCCTTTGGATAAGGACACAGCAACAGAGAGAGCCGGAGCTCTTAAGATACGAACAAGGCGCTGCTCGGAATCTAGATCTGAAGGTGTCAGGCTGCAAAGCTGAGTTCATCAGCAGATTCACCTAGAGATGCTCCTCCAAAAACGCATCTGGAACAGTCAGTATTGCTAGTAGCATGAACCACACACAGTACTGGAATAGTGCAGTTGGAACACCTGCCCTGCTCCTCCCTGCTCTGCTATGGTAATTCAAGAGAGTCTCCCTGAATATTTAAAACCCCGGGGAGGTAACAGAAGTTGCGTGGTTGAGCAATTCACGTCTGTCGTTACACTATGTGAGATGTACCAATGGTGGTACTCCAGGTAACCATCCAATGAACTGAAATTTATTTACGGGTTCAGTATGTACAGAAAAGACCATCATGCAGCTTGGCAAATTTTGTCAGGATAATAAAAATGTACAGCTTTGCCATCAGTTTCTTTACCCAGTGAAATCTGCTACAGCAGTTAGAGTTTACATAAAAAAAAATACATTAGCAAACTATAAATCAGTATGCTTTCAATACACAAACACATTCTTCAAATATTATTGTTCACATAACACTGGAAACAAGCTTTTATACTTGCAGCTGCCTTGTCAGGCTTCAGTAGTAGTAATTAGTGCACTTGAAATTTGCTTGGCTGTCACTTTTTAAAAAAAAAAAAAAAAAGTATTACAAAATCAGTGTTTACACTGAAAGGCTCAAAGTTCTGGGAGATGAATCTTAAATGCAAAGTCAGTTCTTGCCACTGCTTGTTTCTGAGTGGAAAAAAACAAAACCAACCCAAAACCAGTGGCCGAACTTAAGGGACAGTTAAGACTACTCTCTAGCGTACAAGTAGTGAAGTCAGCATCCTGCCTTCTCCATCCCCGCTGAGAGCTCAGGTGCCTAACAGTACGTTTCCGTCACTATTCCGCATCTCCTTGGCACAGCCCTGACGAGAAAGGCTGCGGGAGCTGTGCTCCTTTAGCCCGGGGAGGAGGCAGCTTTGGGGGACACCTGACGGCAGCCAGTCTGCCCCAAGGAGGGCACTGCAACAAGCCAGCCTCTCCCCCTCCGCGTAAATGAAATCCCATCAAGGGAAAACCCTCTCCCAAACGAAGGAGGCAACAGGACTGCATTGACAAAGCCGACAGTTCATTAAGGGCTTCTTGGGTGTTACGCGGCTTGTCGCATGGCTGCCTGCGCCTTCCCTCCCCCCTGCACGGCAGTGCGCTCTCCTCCAGGCCCTCAGGTGCAACACAACTGGTTTGAAGTGTTGCGAGGCCCCTGACAGCGCGTCTAAGCGGGCTGCTCTCAGACGATCACAACATCTAAGAGAAGCTGCTGGGACCCTATCACAGACCACGCTGCAGGTAACGGGGCGAGCTGTAACGACTATCATCTCAGAACAGAACATTTCTGCCTGTGGTCAACACAGGAAGAGTTTGGGTATCTCTGCTTTCTAACGCTAGCCGTGCCGATGCAATCGTGTCCTTCAGCAGCTCTGGTCCCAAGATTGACTGCTTGGGCTCAAGTCATAACAGCATCTGGGGGGCGAGCAGGGTCCAAATGGCTCATCTCTCCCAATGTCCATTGCCAAATGGCTAATGCTGACTAACACTTGATTGTGCGGAGCGGCAGCATTTGCTAGCACTGCTCAACTGAACTGTAAACACACGCACAGCTCATAGACAGAAGCCACTTTAAAATGTTGATTCTAACCCTAAATTACAAATAATTCCAATCCTGTTTGAAAAACCCATTGAGCTTAATGATGCGGAGCTACAGCTATCTAATGACCTGCGCATCTCGTGTCTCCCTAGTGCTGTGTTTCTGAGAGATGGTTTCATGACGGATTCTCAAACCCAAGGCAACCCTTTTGACTGCGGCAAGCTTATGGCAGTAAGTCACTTTCAGTAAGAAAATCTGCAAGTACAGTCTAATACATCACAGGTTAAAAGGCCAAAGTTCAGTGATTTGAATCCCCGTCAGGGTGATTACTGCGGGTGTGTTATTTCATTCTGTTAAACAAGTGTAACTTAGAAAACTTCTTAGCAACTGTATGGACTGCAAGATAGTAAAGTGAACACACAGCCTCAGTGCTACTCCTGAAATATTTCTGAATATAATTCTAAATTACCAACGGGAGCTAGAGAAATTTCTTGCAGTAATGGCACTACCCATAGTAGGGGAGGCAATTTTTAAGATCTGAAACGAAGATATAGCTCTGGTGGATGACAAGTGATCTTATCTTTCAAAAAAAAAAGAAAAGAGCTTGTCCAGAAAAGTACATGAGTCCACTGAACTCAATTTTATACATGACTGTACCAATGCTGAAGCGTAAGCACGTCACTGAGGCAAAGACTCTGAAGGATGTAACACACCGTACCGCTGTGATTTACCTCCAAGACCAGGTCCCACAGTTACCGTAGTGTTACAAGCACGCTGCCAGGAGTGGTTTCTTAATTATGCGCTTGAACAAAACCTGAAACTCCGGTATTTGGGCCTGTTAGCTCAGTAAGGGTAATGAGTTCTGTTGTTTGTGTTTACTAAGCAAAAAAAATTCTGCTGTGATCTGAACGCTGAGTTTACAGCCCACCTTTCCATTGGCCCGTGCCAGGAAGACCAGTTTGGTACTTGATTGCAGAACAGAAGATGAGTATCAGATTCTGGGCTACGCTGTTGGTTTCTTCCAAACTCCAAATGATATACTGTCCCAGCAAGCGGGTAACAGTCCTGAAGCCAGAAAAGGAACTGCCTCAGTGCTTAACTTCATAGCTCAGCTCGTTAGGAAAGGTCCAGACCCTCAAAGTGAGATGTTTCATCACAGTGCTTCTGAAATACAGTGGAGAAAGAAGTTTAGCCACTTACTATGCACATGAAATTATCAACTCTCCCACGATTTTCAAAAAATCCAGATCAATGCTTATTAGGCTGAAAACCTGACAGAAGCCTGAGGAAAAGGCTATTTGGGAATAAATACTAACGACGGCTTGAGGCTATTAAAATTGTGAAACAAAGCTGAAAGGGATCTGGCAGAGCCCTGTCCAGCCTGTTCTGAAACTCTGCTTAAGGGCATGGCCGTCTGATGGAGCCTCATGCCACAACGCAGTAGAGAGGAGCAGAGCGCCTGGCACCAAGATAAGTACTGGTTTATTTACAAGCAAGTATTACACCAGTCAGCATTTTCTCTGGGGGAGTTAATTACGGAGGTTGACTCAAACTTGTGACAAGTCAAAACCAGGACTATTTAACCCTGTACTTGTTAGGATATCATATTCCAACGAGTTTGAAAACTGCCCTACCTTGACTCACAACTCCGCGCTATACTCGGGACAGGGCTTGCTGTGTCGATATTGCATGATGTACACTGTCGATTGATGCCACCAATACAGCATCACCACTGCAAGGATATGCCACACTTGGTGACTCGAGCCGAGGTAGTTCAGCTGTCCTGCGAAAGAACAAAGGCAAGTGCTTAAGCTGTGAAATTCAGCAATAACTTAGGCAATACAGTTAGCAACCAGTCTCCTCCAAAGCTCAACCACATACTCCGCTTGCTGGGAGGCAGTTAAAGTTCTTTAACGAACTTGATCAGAAGTTGTCTGCTTGCTCTCGATGCAAATACACGCAGTGTTTTACTCTATATGAGAATACTTCACGTAGAACACGGCCAACCTGTTTGCTCACAGGAAGTTCGGGATTCGCAGCAAGGACCGCGACACTGCAGGAAGCTTAACTGCAGGAAAAAAAAAACCACCCAGAAGAGAATTTCCTACCTGGGAAGTATCTTTCTGGAACTTTGGAAATATAGAAGAGAAAAGCTACAGCAGCGATGAAGTACATGACAACTACACGCGGAGCAAACTCCTGCAAAAGAAAAGGAAGCTCTCCTATTCTGTTAGGAGGTAAAAATAGGAAAAAAAAAAGTCCCCCGAAGATAAAAAAGGCATGACAAAACTGAATCTTACTTCACTGCTTATGTTATCTATGGACAAAATCCAACAGGGAAACAAATGCCAAAGTCTGGGAAAATCTGAATGGGAAGAAACTTGTTTTATCACGATCTCTCTGCTTCAACACACGAGCTACTTAGTGCTTCTGTGCAGCAGACGTGAAATTTGTCAGTAAAAGGATACCTTTCAATACACTCGTCTTAGGCGGGATGGCCGGGACAAGAGAGAAGGATGACTTCAGCGCACATCTCATTTATGGGGTGGCATTGCAGTCTCTAGAACCCAAAGCCAGAGGAGGAGTACTACCTACTGCATGGTAAATAAGCAAACCATTCAAGAGGTGCTTTCTGTTTTACTTAACAGAAAGTTTTGTTACTAGAAGTGGAGCTTTTTTCTCAAGTACAGAAACAAAACATACAGCATAGCTGCTACACCAGGAGAAACTAAACAGGGGAAGACATGGTGGGGAAACTATTGTTTATCTGATTTTTAGAAGGTCAGTGTTAAGTGCTGTGTCTAAAGATTATATGTACTTCTAAGAGTTGCTCTTCCACATTCAACAGCAGCTCTGGACTGGGCTGAAGCATCACCCCATGTGACGATTGTCCAGCAGAGCCAGTGTGAGAACATGCAGTCACTGCTTACTGTGAGAAGCGAATGTTTTCTTCAGCACAATGAGGTCCCTGGGTAACTGCAATGATTTCTGGGGTTTTCTTATTGGGGCATCCTTTACTGCCATTAGCTGTACTGCACTGTTTGTTTTTCAAAGCATAATTGTAAGTGGTAAAACAAGAACAGGAAAATAGTTCAGTAACTTCACAGCGATGTTAAATGAGGGTTGCGTAAGAGAGAGAGGGCTGAGTAGGAAAATACAGGTGTGGGTTGTTTTTTTTTTTTTTTTGCTGCCAACCCGGGGAGCAGAAGCGGAAGCAAATAATCATCCCGTCAGCGTCTCCTGGCTCCCCGCTCTTGGCTAGAGCTGTGGAGGCGACAGCCCGGAGCACTGTGGACAGCAGACTGAGAGACTGCTTTCCCTTCCGCAGCCGGCTCAGCTCCTCCCTCCTGGCCCTGGCCCTGGGGTGAGCCAGGGTGCGGTCCACCCGCAGAGGCTGCTCTGTCCCTCAGGCAGCTGTGCTCGGTCACATTAGTATCCAGCTTTCCTTCTCAGGGCGCAGTTTTAAATCGGTGAAGCAGATTTAATCTACTCAACCTGTTTACTGCTTCTCAATGAACGTTTAAGTGTTTGCATTTGGATCATATCGTCCAAAAGAATTCTCTGCTCAAAGAAATTTTAATTAGCGCTGCTTCCCCCTCGTTTCCTGAAGTGTAAGAGGACTGAAGGAAGATGGCAAATGAAAAGCAAGAGGGAATCTTTTTTCTTTTTTTTCTTTTACCTGTACAATAGATGCGCCAATGCCACCGTTGAGCCAAACCCAGTGGATGGTGGGAATAATTCCGTATCCAGACACTGAGCAAAAGATGATGGAGCGCAGTCTGTGCCACTGTTGCGTGAGGTAACTGGGATGAATCTGAGCAAAAAATACTGCCAAGATCATTGCCAGCACAGTGATTAAATATACCTGACGCCAGTACTGGGGAAAAAAGAAACAAAAGAAAGTTTGTGGGTGTTCATTCTCCTCCTGTGTAAAAGCAAACTCTGGGTAGAAAGTTTACATTTTTTTACATTACTAAACGTAATGATGTAGCAGTTCTCCTGTCACTGCTGTGAGGACAGATGACAGGGTTTGAATGAATGACCTTGCACTTATCAACTGAGACTGACGGGAAGGGACTCTATTGCTCGGCTACACGGGGTAGAACATCATTTATTCCAAGTAGTGCCTTCACCAGAACATTTTAAATATGCCTCTGCCCAAGCAAACTCGTTCACTGCATCCCCTGCAGGCATGGCTGTAAGGTAGGCCGCTGAAGCTAACCAATTTTAGTTGTTCTCTATTACATAAAGAGAAAATAGAGTTTTTTCTGCCTCATGTAGGCTATCTACTGGGAAACGATGCTTGAATTACTTGTGATGGGGATGCAACCCATAATTAGCCTCGCGCATTTGACAATGGCAGGACCTGTAAAGTTTACCCTGCCTTCATACAAATTGAAATATTGTGTTGAGGCTCGCGTGACCGACAGCTTGAAAGGATAATCTGAATTTTCCCATCACTTCAGCAAGCAAAATTCTACTCCTGTCATAAGGAACTTGCCACAGTTTCCACCTCTGCTGACTAATATTCTATTTGGACACACTGCAGTGAACGCCCTTCCGACAACACAGAAACTACGACAGTGAGACCACAGGAACTAAACGTTACATAAACACGTGCTTCAAACTTACGTTGTTACAATAAAATGCATAAAACACGCCTGACACATAGCAGCCCAGGATACCAATGGAAATTCCCGCATAATCTAAAGCCATCCATCGTCGGCTGGTCTTCTCTGAGCGGTGGCAACAGAAAAGATGATATCCTACTGAGCAAAGCATACAGACCTATACAAATGTTCAAACAAGGATGCATTAATTTCATAAAAATCAACAGGGAGTACTGCGAGCGTAAATTCTGAAGCTTAGAGTACGCGACTCACCCGTTACGTGTTTTGCAGTGCAACTTGGTGTAGGAAACTATGACTTCTGCCAGTAATCAAGAAAAAGTAACATAAGCTTCTCTGGCAGATGGAAGAATGACCAGAAAAGTTTGGAAGACTTGACAAGCCCAAGTTGCACATGTACAACCAGAGCAAGAGGCCAAGAAAGAAGCCAGTACACAAGGGAGCAGACCAGGTGGGCACGCGTACAGCAGGACGATGAATTCTGCTTGGCCAAACTACCGCAAGCAGAAACCAAAGCCCAAATCTGCCCCGACTGCCCAGCACCCACATTACTGTGGGACCACACAAGAAGTTAAACTCGTTTGCACAGGCCACTTATTTACTTCTAGGCCGGCATGAAATTTTTTCCCTGAGAAACGTTTTTAGTCTTTCTCTGCAACCCTCAACAGCAACAGGGATAAGCACAACAGCAGCGCTCTCCAGGCCGGCAAAAGAGTTTTCCCCACTTTGAGCTACCCGAAGGCATCCTGTACTCTTCAGGGAGCACCAACAGCCCTCTGTAGAGTCATCCTGTCAAAACTTCTGCTGCTGGCTGTGCACGCTTTTTTAGGGGTAGCACACTGCACAGGAGCTTCAGCGGTCAAATGATGACACACTTGCAGTCTGCTGTTGAGAACAGATTTAATCTGACAGAGAAGGTACAAAGTTAGAACACAAACCCTACTGCCCTTCCAGACCAGCATCAGGCCATGGCCGATTCTCATGTTCTGGTGGGTGACCATTTCCCGCAGTAACTGGTGCTGTCTGGGAGCCACACCAGTCCCTAGTAAACCCCAGCACCCAGCCAAAGCTCTGAAATATGGCCTTGGACACTTCACTTGTTTTTCACAGACTCTCTCCTACGGCAGCTATGCTCAGCCCTCCCTGGTTTATTCCATATAGTAAACAGGTCAAAATCATCTCAGCCCCCCCGCGTGCCAGCTCGAGCGATGCTGTGTGAGAGATGCTTTCCCAGGTCTGACCTGAGCTCTGCAGTCCCACGCGCGGGATGCGTGTGGAAGCTCCAGGAGTGGCCTTTATCGCTCTCCTTCCCAAGCGAAGGAGCTGCCCGGAGCGCACTCTCCCACCCGCGCCGCGGCGGGCCCCTACCTGGAAGCAGAAGAGGCAGACGGAGCAGATGACGAAGTCCTCGCGGGAGGCGCCGGCGGCGGGCAGGACGGCCGTCAGGTCGTAGATGCCCAGGGTGAAGAAGAGGAGGAAGCCGAGCAGGTGGCTCCAGATGTTGACCGTCTCGTTGGAGAGGATGAAGAGG